TCCCCGACGAGCCGCTCAGCAAGGCCCGGACCATCGAAATGATCCACGAGGTACTCACTGCAGCAGGCATCGCATTGCATCGCCCCGGAGCAGCTGACGAAGCCGAGGTCAATCGCTTCGGGGGACACTGCTTACGAGTGTCAGGGGCACAACACCTGTGTCGCATGCGCATCCCAGTGTCGACCATCATGCTGTTGGGCAGATGGGGAAGCCGCGCCATCGAACGCTATGTACAGGACACCGAATTGGAGGACATCGTCATGATTGGCACCAAGAGACCTTCCGTCGCAGAAGCCCGGAGCTCCGAGACGCAGAGCGACTCCCCCGACCGCACCAAGTGGACCCTCGTGCCGGAGGAGCAAAGCGCGGCATCAGACAGCGCCGCGCCTACAGCCAAGAAGCCCAGAATGAACGCAGCGCAGAACGACGTCGCAGTCTCTCAGCTCATGGGGCAGCTGGATGCCATAGCAGACCGCCTGGAGCATGATCAGGAGCGGCCCGACCTCATTGTCAAGAAGAAAGCTCACGCCCGCGACGCAGAGGAAGCCACGAGGCCCCCGATTCGTTGGAGGGCCCGCTGTGGGTGGGCCTATGGCTACTCACGATTCACCCGGGCAGTCGATAACGGGTCGCACGTGCTGTGCAGGAAATGTTTCCCGGAATCAGCTCCGAGCTCAGTCGCCCCGCCTCCGACGGCGGCCAAGACAGGATCTGAGACCGAGTCAACGGACAGCGCCAGCTGCTCCTCCTCCAGCTAAAGACAGCCTCCGCTGTCTTGCGATGACGAGCACCGCAGCCTCCGCTGCGCTAAAAGAATGCGACACTTACGTAGGGACTGCCTCGTTCAGTGCAAGTTCGGTCAGCTGAGATCAATGAGACTTGAACAATAGCTGCCCGCAGCCCCCCTTTCGCATCTGCTCCCCCTGTGTCCCCACTAAGCCTCGATGGATCCCGCCCTGAAGGCCATTGTCTCGGCAGCTGGCGCAGGAGAAGATCTTCGAAAGTACATCGAAGACCTTGGCATCTCCTCCGTCGGGGTATTCGGGGAGCTAGGAGAAACGATCCAGGAGTTTGACGAAGCCGTGGTGGAACCCCTTCGCAAGCCCTACAAGCTCAGCGATGGCAACATCATGGAGGTGCTGTCCACCGACTTTCCAGTGACTCGCGCTCGCCTGCGCCACGTGTGGAAGAAGTGCCGTGACGCCTCTGCGGCCACACCTTCGGCAGCGCCAGCCGCACCGACTACAGGCAGCACCGCCTCCGCCTCTTCTTCCAAGAAGGAACTTCCCGCTGGCTATTGGCAGGCACAAGTCAAGAAGTTCGAGTCTGTAACGATCAAAGGCATAGCAAGGAGATTCCCGGAAACCTTGCTCCTTGGCGCGGAGGCCACTTTGGCTCGCATCGTATTCGACGCTAAGAGCTTGCAGCACAACGCCATACCCCTCGAGGAGATCGTCCAGACTCGCCACTTCAAAGCCTCAGGCGAGCCCAACAACCTCAGCACTGCCAAGAAGCGCTCGCGCAGCAACGAGGTGACCACGCTCGTCCTCAACTCCGACTTGCAACTCGAGACCGAGCCTGAGGACCGATGGCGTCCGCAATCGCAGACAGCACTTCTCGACTGTCTGCAGGCTATTCACATGGCTCTAGTCTTCGTGGAGTACGCCCCCGAGCACGAGCTTGACAAGTACTTCGAGTGGTGGCAACGATTGGTGCGCAGCCGCCCGAACAAGATCGAGCAGCTCAAGATACACTGGGAGAACACCGCGTGGCGCATAGCTCTCGCGCTTCGGAAAAGCACTCCCTTCAACGACGTCGCCTCCGAGATCATGACCGACAGCCAGTCGCTTCAGGAGACAATGAGCAAGGAAGTCGCCGTGGAGCGACCAACGAAGGCGCCGCGGAGCTTCGAGCAGCCTTGGCAAGATCGACGAGGAGGACGTGGAGGAAAAGGTCAACAACAAGTTAGGGATTGGCAGCCCTACCGCCCCAGCAAAGGCAACGGGAAAGGATGGGGACGCGGTCGTGGTCGTGGCCAACAGCAGTGGCGACAGCAACGCTACCAACGCCAGAACGAGGACGACCGAGATCAGTGGCGCCGACGAGAGGATGATCGCAGTCGCGGCTCCGACCAGCGCAACTGGAGGTCGTGGAACCACAATGACTCCACACGCCGTGAGCACCGCGACCATGAATAGGGACAGCACGGGCCATCCCCTGGGGGTGGACCCGACCATGTGAAAGAACCCGACTCGACCTCTTTCGCACGCTCTCGGTCACCTTTGCCACGACAACGCGCTACGCCCCCAGCTACCGCACTACACACCAAGGCCAAGCTGCTAAGTAACCAACAGGTCACAACGAGAGACAAGACCACCGCCGTCGACTTCGTGGTCCTCAGCTTCTTCGACGGCCTCGGCACCGCCTTCCTCGTGTGCGACAACCACTGCAAGGCGAAGGGACTCAGCTGGAGAGGAGCTTCTTGGGAAATCGATGAGGACCTAGTGAAGCTCGGAATCAAGCACTTCCCTGACGTCTTGACCCGCGGTGACTTTGAGCAGGAGACCGCAGAATCGCTGTCAAAACTTGTGCAACAGCTAGACCCTTCTCGCTCAGCCCAGGTGGTCATCGCTGCCGGACCTCCGTGTCATGATTTCTCACGCATACGACAAGACGCGCCAGGACACGAAGGCACCGAAGGCTCCAAGTTCACACGCTTCGCCAAGCTCATCGTTGACCTAGAAAAGCTATGGAACCGCAGCCGAGCCACCCTACTCGTGGAGAATGTCATCCCCCAGAACCGCGCCGACATGCGCAAGATCGAGAAGCTTCTCGACGCGCCCGCGGTCGTGCACGACTCGGCTGACTTCGGAACCATCTCCAGACCGAGAGTCTGGTGGTGTCGGATACCCTGGTCCGAAGTGGCGCACCGCAAAGACTGTCCGCTCTCGATGCGCTGGACCAGCACGCAGGGGATACCCAGAGTTCACTTCGAGGTCCCCAAGGACGATACACAGACGTGGGACACACAAGGCCTCGCCCTTCCACGCTGTCTCACCGAGGAGATGAAGCCACTCCCATGCCTTACTACGCCCTCAGACGACCCCAACGGTCGCCCGGCACCACGAAGTGCAAAAGGGAAGATCAGCAGCGACGCCACGCAACGCTGGATGGCCGACAA